CTTCCTTCCTTCCTTCCTTCCTTCCTTCCTTCCTTCTTCCCTCCCTCCCTCCCTCTTCTCTCTCTGCCTGGACTGTGTCTCATTTGTGACTGCTGGTAGCCCATCTTTCTCCTTTCTCCAGCCTCCCCCATAAACCTGTGGGCTCACTGAGGGCAGGAGCCCGTCCGAGGCATCTCTGAATCCTCATGTGGAGCATGCCTGGCATGTTAGCTGGAATTGAAAAATGGTTTGTCGACTCAACAGCAATTTTAAGTACAAAAGAAAGTCTTCTGAGGCAAAAAGCCTGGGGCTGAAGAGGAAAATGGCAAAGACTGAACAAGTCCAGCCATTCTCCAGGGATCCAGGAAGTGGAGATCACTGCCCTTACTGACTCACAAAAGCATCGTTGAGGGGACACATCCGATGAGCTCCCTGAGAAAGTAAGCATATTTGAACAGCCATTGACTGGCAAAATCAAGCAAATGGGGGGTGGGATGGAGAGAAACCAAGCAAAAGAAAAGGAAAGAAATTGTCTTAGTCTTTTAAAACAGAGCATATGGGAACCTTACTAGGTGCCGTCAATTCAACTAGGACTCTTGGTGACCCAGTGAACAACACGACTGCACCCTGCCCTACCCTGCGCCATCCTCATCGTCTCTGATATGCTCCCGCCCTCTGTGACCCTCACTGTGGCAATCCACCATCCTCTCTTTCCCTGATCCCCACCCTTCCCAGCATGATGTCTTTTTCTAAAGGCTGGTGCCAACTGACAACACACCCAAAGTATGTGAGATCAGCTTTGCCTCTAAGGAGCACTCTGGTTGTACTCCCTCCAAGACAGACATGATTAAGTGTATGTGAAACAAATGAGGCAAACGTAGCTTCTGATCTGAATGAGAGCAAGGCCCCATTACGCTTGCTTGCTGCTGCGTATTGAATGTGTCTGTCAGAAACCTGTGCCGGAATCCCAACCCCTATAGTCATCAGTATGTTGCTGCTCTGTGGCATCGAGTTGAAATCCACTCAAGACTGACTCTCCAGGCTTTCAGAGGTGGTAAGTGGCACGAGAGGACTGCTCGTCTTTCTTCCAAGAAGCAACTGGTGGATTCGAATAGCATGCCTTTGGGTTGGTAGTGCAACTCTTTAACCACTAGGCTCTTCTAGTCATAGTTATAGGTATGACTGTAACTCCATTTGGGAACAGGTTTTCTTTGTTATGTTAGTTAGACCATGCCAGTGTAGGATGTGTCCTAAACCTAGCCATTCTGAGATTTACAAAGAGGTTAGGAACGGAGACAAATGAGCACAAATGGAGAAAAGAGGGATGCCACATGAAGATCTCCAAGGAACTGAGAAATACTGAACTAGAGAAGCTGAGAGAGCATGGGTAGTGTCATTCTGGTGAATTTGCACTTCTGTGATGGTTCAAATCCATTAGCTGATCCAAAGGAGAAAGATGGGCAATCTCTTTCTGTGCGATTTATATCCCAGTGGAGGGTAACTGACCACCATAAGTTGGTGACTCAATGGCAAGGAATAAGGTGAGAAGAGAAGGTGAAGCACGGAGTCTTCTAGAGTCAGTGTCTGAATTTGGATTTCCAGCCTCCTATGCAGTTAGGAAAGAAATTAAGCTGTTTATTAAAGACACTTATATGTTACAGCGGCAGCAAGAAACGTAAGTCACCCACTATCCTGCGTTCCCTTGGAGGGACCTGGAGGGTTTGATGGGTGCCAACTCCACTGACTGATGGAATTGCCAAAAGGCATTATTAAAGCCCAAAGGGTTAGGGGACCAAGACCTTCTACCCACCTCGCCATTGGCATCACAGGCCGTGTGTGTGTAGAAATAGTCTTTGTCTGTGCAGGCTGGACGCACTTTACAGGTAGAGGATCCTTTTTCTAAATTGTAAAAGAAAGGACAAAAATTTGAAATTACGCAGGAAAGCAGAGCCCTTGACCACATGCCCAGGACTCCGGAGTCCTTGAAGTCAATCACCACACAGACATTGCTGAAGAGACACTCTGCACACCCTCCCTTCCTTTGTCATTCAACAGCATCTTGATGGCTATTTCCAGTCCCTCAGACATTGCCCAACTGAATGTCTCCTTGTCTCTTCTCCCAGGTCTTCATGAGAGACCATTGTCCCCTTCCTCCGGAGTGAGGTGTGGAGAAGTGGACTGGACTGGGAAGACATGGCTGAGAAGAACATTTTGCAAGATTCCCAGGTTAAACACCCCCAGCCCAGACTCCTGAAACCCTTCACCTTTCAAGCTTCAGAATTCCTGGGGTCAGTGTGATTTTTCTGTTCCTACAGTAAGTATTAAGTCACTGGCTCCCCACTTCCAGTCTAATCTTTCCTCTGAATGTTCTTATAATGATAAGTATGCTTACTGATGAAAATGCTTCGACTTTTACTTTTCCTTTCTTCATGAAATCATCCCAAATAAGTTGATCATCTCCTTAAGCTCAACTTAAGACATAAGGAGGCTCTTTCCACTGACCCCAACTTAAGCATCTTAGGATTACATTTAACTCTCGTCCTACACCTAATTTAAAAACATGTCATTAACTACCAGTATGAGTGTATCCTGAATGTCTCCTTATGTCTATATTGTTGTTACTATGTACCACCGACCCATAGGTGACCCTCTGGCAGGTTTTCAGAGGCTGTAAATTGCATGGGCTTCATCCTGGAAAGGGTCAAACCGGGCTGCTCCTTGGAGGCAAGGATTCTAAGGCTCTGTCTAACATACTCTGGACATGTTGCAAGGAGGGACAGGTCCTTAGAGAGGGACATCATGCTTGGTAGGGTGGAGGGACAGCGCAGAAGGGGAAGGCCCCCTAGGAGGTGGATTGATTCAGTGACTGGGGTAATGAGGATGGGTGTATCGGAGACGGTGCGACTGGCACAGGACAGAGTTTAGGGATGTTGTACATAGGGTCACTATGAGTCACAAGCGACTCGACAGCACATAACAACAACAACAACAAATTACATGGGAAAAGATTGCCCTTCCTTCTCCTGTGGAGCAACGGGTTGACTCACACTGAGTGCCTCTGGGATTGCAGCTCAGCTTCTTGCCACTAGGCCATTAGAGCTCTGCCTTAACTCTATGAAATCCTGAATGGTAAGAACTATTTCAATTCTTCCCTTCTTAAAGCAATGGATTAAACCCTTTTAAAATGACAAACTCTTGATAAGAAAGAGTGGCTTCCTCTACAAGGAAAAAAAATACACAATTCATGAAAATAAAAATTTCCAGGGAGTTAACTTACTCTAGAATAAAAGCCACTGCTTTATAGGAAGTACAGTACGATGCTACTGCCAGCACTACTTCAAATAATACCTCTGTGTTACCCACAGACAGGATTTCATGATGGTGAGAACATCTCACTACATACTTCTATTACCTAGAGGGTAGTATGACACAATGGAATGAAATTGCAAGTCATCCATATCTGAGTTGAACGACACATCATTATTCACTCGTTATGTGACTTAGCAAGTTACCTAATGACTCTGGGCCTTTGCTCTCTTCTTTATCCAAACAAAAATCAATTGCCACAAAGTCAATTTCAGCTCATGGCAACGTATAACTGAGTAGACTTGCCCCACCTGGTTTTCTTGGCTGTAATAACCAGGTCTTTCTTCCATGGTTTCTTAGCATGGGTTCAAACCAAACTTCTTTATTGTTATTTTTATTTTTTTAATTCATTTTCATGAACGTTTACAGAGATTTTGGATTTCCATACATTCATTGTTGCATTTTTCTCCCTGCCCACTCCTCCCCCCAGTTTGCTCTTCTTTTTGAAAAATAAAAATTATTTCATTGGTATACAATCCCTCACCCCCACCCCGAGTACACTCCACTATGCAACCTTCATTCTGGACTCTTGTCATAACCATAATACCCAATCATCTATCGCTTTCAAACTGTTCTCTCCCTCATCTGTTTCAATGCAGTACACATAATTTATCCAATTTTTCTCAGTCTCAACCCAACCCTGATGTCAGTTCCATTCTACAACAGTGGCACCATGCAGCACCTGTCCTTTTGTGACTGAGATATTTCACTCAGCATAATGTCCTCCAAGGTCACCCATTTTGATTAATACTGTATGAGTTCCTTGTTTTTCAATGCAGCGTAGTATTCCATTGTGTGAATATACCACAGCTTCTCTATCCATTCATTTGTTGATAGGCACTTAGGTTGTTTCCAACTCTTTTCTATTGTGAACAAAGCTGCAATAAACATGGGTGTGCATATATCTGCCTGGGAGGCAGTTATGGTTTCTTTAGGGTATATTCCCAGTAATGGGCACAAAATATGAACAGGCACTTAACCAAAGAAGACATTCAGATGGCCAACAAATACATGAAGAAATGTTCAAAATTCCCAGCTCTAAGAGAGATGCAAATCAAAACAACTATGAGATATCATCTCACCCCAGTAAGAATAGCAAAATTTAACAGAGCAGCAAATAACAAATGCTGGCGAGGTTGTGGAGAAACTGGAACCCTTATTTACTGTTGGTGGGAGTGTAAAATGGTTCAACCACTGTGGAAGGCGGTATGGTGCTCTCTCAAAAAGTTGCAAATAGAAATACCATTTGGCCCAGCAATTCCATTATTGGGAATATACCCTAAAGAAACCAAACTTTTAAGCTAATAACATAGTTAGTGCAAAAAATCTGCGCCACGCAGGGACCTTCTCTTGTCTTGTTGTTGTTGTTATGTGCCATCAAGTCGTTTGCGACTCATAGCGACTCTATGTACAACAGCCCTAAACCCTGCTCTATCCTGTGCCAATCACATTGCCTCTGACACACCCATTCCGATTACCCCAGTCACTAAATCAATCCACGTCATAGAGGGTCTTCCCCTCCTGCGCTGTCCCTCTACTCTACCCAGCATGATGTCCCTCTCCAAAGACCTGTCTCTCCTTCCAACATGTCCAAAGTATGTCAGACGAAGCCCCAGAATCTTTGCCTCCAAGGAGTAGCCTGGTTTAACCCTCTCTACGATGAATCTGTTTGTTTTCTTGGCAGTCCATGATACATTCAATACTCTTCTCCAGCACCACAGCTCAAAGGCGTCAATTCTCCTTTTGTCCTCCCTAGTCATTGTCCAGCTCTCTGATGCATAACAGGTGATTGCAAAGACCATGGCCTGTATCAGGCGCACCTTCGTCTCCAAAGAGACACTGTTGCTCTTGAGTACTTTAGAGAGGTCCCTAACCGCAGACTTTCCCATCGCAATACGCTTTTTGATTTCCTGGCTGCTGGTGCCAAGAGTGTTGACCGTGGAGCCGAGTAAACCGTGTGCAAAGCCAAATACCTACCTTGCTGGAACCAGCATGTTCCTGGAACACTGTAAATAGGTGCTCACTAAGACCCCCAACCCTGTGAACTGACACCGTGACTACCGCAAAGGGCTCTTGTGTGTGTGTGTGTGTCAGGAAGTGTGAGGATGGCGTGGGATAGAGCAGGGTTCAGAGATTTTGTTCATAGGGTAGCTATGAGTCCTACTCTACTTGATGGCACCTAACAACAACAACAACAACAGCAACAGCAACATTCATATTTGTGGAAATAACTCCTATTTGGAAAGGTCCTGGTGACACTGTGGGTAAAGCCATTGGCCGCTAACCAAAAGGCAGCGGTTTGAACCCACCAGCCTCTCTGTGGGAGAAAAGAGCTGGTGATCTGTTCCTGTAAAAATTATAGTCTCAGTCTAGGGAACCCTGGGAGGCAGTTCTCCTCTGTCATACAGGCTTGATACGAATCAGAAGCAACTGGAGGACACGCAACAACAGGAGATTTAAGAGGGATTAAAGGTCTTCTTTTCCTTCCCGCTCAGGGCTTATTTCTCAAGAGATCCTTTGTTCCTAAGACAGCAAACAAGTTCCTAGATCAGAGAACCCCCTAACTACAGCCAGCTGGCCTGCTCTGCGGAGCCCTCTCATGGTACACTTCCACACCTCCTCCATCCCTGTCTTATTAGCCGGGGCAAGGGGGACCAGTGGCTAAGAAACAGCTGGGGTCTTCTCACCTCATTTACTTAGCTAACAAGCAGAAGGCCTGCTTCAGCGTACAACTCCGGCTTCTGACTGACTTGGACAGGAGAAATTTGGGGGTAGACATTGAAAATGTGCCAATGCCCAGGGCCTCACGTCTTAGTTCTAGCAAACTTCGGATTAAGTGTTAGAAAATGCATTCCACAAAGTCACTCTTTACGCTTGTCAAATATTTGCTCAACCTGGCATTTTCGCTCCGGGTTTCAGCAAAAATGGTTCATGCTGTTTACACACTGACAACAGCTAAGGCGGTTCTAATAAATTATTAACTCAAATGCTGAGGCGGACTTCCCTCTCCCTGCTCAGGTTTCACTCAGGCTTGAAAGCTGGGTACTAGTCAGGTTGGAAAGATCCAACTAGGTATCTGGTTAAGGGGGTGACAAGCAGGACTAGGCTGTGCTGGAAGATGACCAAGTGCCCTTAGGGGAGGGAGTGGCTCCAAATCCTGGTTCTACACCTTCCTCCTGCTTTCGTTATCTTCAGCCCGCCTCCAGGAGCAGAAGGCTCTCATTCTGATTCCTTTCATGAAAGGAGAACACGTTCTCAAAGAATTTATGTAATTAATGAATGAAAGACCCAGATTTGATACCAGCTCTGACCTTGGCAAACCCTTACCCTCTCTGAGCCTGTCTTTCCTGTTGTGGTGGCATCAATTCTCAGTCACAGTGACCCTATATCACAGAGTAGGGCGGCTCCATGGGGTTTTGGGAACTGGCTGCCACGTCTTTTTCCCTCAGAGCACAGAGCGGATTCATACTGCTCTCATTTGTTTAGCAGCGGTGAGTTCAACCACTGTCCCACCACAGTGCCTTTGTTCATTT